CATGGACCTCGTCCCCCGAAGGGTTCGTTCGACGGGAGCTTCCCCGGTCCCTGGGGCAAGTGGGCTGGATCGTTCGACGGTAGTTTTCCTGGTCCCCACGGCAAGAACGTCCCGTTCCCTGGCAAGGGCAAAGGTAAGGGAAAGAAGAAAGCGAACGGTTCGGACGCCTCGGAGGATACTCAGCAACAGACGACGCAACAAGAGGATAATTCGGCCTCAGACTAACTACTTCGATTTTAGATCGAGATGCGAGTTCGACACCTTCCGTAGATGTACATTCGTATTAGTGTTGAGTAAATTTACATAACCTCAATGGATCAATTGGTCCTCCGTCATTCACACCAACAAACTTCATTCACGAAAAAAAAAAACACACACACACAGCTAAAAAGCTCTACTGGAAACCTCCCCTTCGATGAGCCATTACCTTCGAAGGCAGACCTTGGTATCAGCACGACCGCTTATTCGGTAAGCGCTTGGTCACGCAACGGCTCGTATCCGCCTCTGTTTCTTCCGACAACAACGATGCTCGTCACACTCCCATCACGCAGCCGACGTGCTACTACACCACTTGCTGGTAGCTTTTTAGATATTCCACCATTGTTGTTAACGGGAGGAGGCGTCGAATCAGCGGTCGATTTGAAGTCAACAGGATGGTGTTCGTAAGAGCGCACGAAGTCAAGCTGTGCAGTCGAATACGAGCACTGAACGGCGGCGACGAGGAGGATAAGGGTCGAAATGAACTTCATACTGGTTGGGAAGGGTGTTTTTGGGGGTTGGAGGTGAATCGAAGAATGACACTTTGCACACTGAACGCGAAAACGATTCCACTGATACACATGTACCAGAACAAAGTTGCCGTTTTTTCGTGTTGCTCACTCGTAGCATGAATGTTACTTGAAGTACGATCCGAAGCATAAGATCCCACCAAGGTTCATCTGCGCAGCGAGGACCCGATCCATACGGATCAAAGCATGCAGTCGGATACTTGGTATCGAAATCTCCAAGAAAAACAATGAAACTTCGTTGTATAACACCACTTGCACTCAAAAAAAGAAAAAAAATTGAGGTCCGATTCGTAGCCGAACACACTCCCTAGTTTACTTGCCAGACACCTGCGTAGTAGAGTCTGTCGCCATGGCAGAATCCGTAGCCGCAGTAGACGATGGCACAGGGCTGTTGCTGGTGGTCGAGGACCCCGTAGCCGTGTTCACGGGGTTGGTGAGGCTGCTGAGGACTGTCCCCGTGCCGGTACTTCCGATCGGTAGGCTCAACGAAGAGAGGCCACTCGTGATCGACGACAAATCGCCGAGAGACGAGAGACTATTGCCTCCGGTAAGGGAGGTTAGACCGCCAAGGCCAGTGCCTGTTGTTAGAGAAGACAGAGAGTCCGTGCTAGGCAAGATCCCCGATGTCCCGCTGCTGGTCGGCAACAGACTTGTGATCGAAGAGAGGGCTGCGGTGGTGCCACCTGTCGTCGACCCAGTGAGGGTTGAGAAATCAAGACCGGAGTTGTAGCCCGTCCGTAGTAGCTTCCGCTCCGGGACAGCTTGTGCGCAGTGAGCAACCGCTACGAGAAGCGCGAGGGTCGAGAAGAGCTGCATGCTGAGTATGCTGGGGTTTTGGTGTGCGTTTGACTAGGCAAATGGAATTGTGAACAAGCAGCGTGGTGGCGACAGCAACAGGATACGATGAGCATTCAGCATGAGCATCGCACGAAAGCGCAGCACAGGCTAACGGCGTACAACTGAAGAGAATGCGACGCTTTAGCAGACGGTAGTATCTGTGTGTGGGGCTTGTGATAGCTGAGTCAGGCTCTGGTGCTATAAGATCGCTACGACCTTATGCCGGTCATGACATGTACACGACATTGTGAGTGGCATCCATGAAAACTACGCATGGCGTGGCTTTCGGGGCTCGGATGCCGATGCGGTCCACTATCTGTGCTGTAAAACGAATTATCGCCACAAATTGCAAGCTTTGAACTCCAGCTATGACAAGCACTACCTGGCGGAATTGTCTAAGTAGTGCAAAACAGATCAACGAGTACTGTTAATAGCTCGACGTTTAAAACTGTAGCGGAATTTGCCGCTGATGGGTTAGTGAAGGCTGGGCAGAGTAGAATACAAACAAAACTGTATTGAACAAACTACACAGGACAGTTACTCCATCGAGTGTTGGAGCGGAGACTTCTCTGGGTCCGGCTTCGGGGTCGGCTTAACGTTCGGTTTGTGCGAATTCTTCGGACTGGTTTTCTTTTTCGAGGACTTCTTCGGAGTCGTTTTCTTCTTGGTGTTTTTCTTGTTCAACTTCGGAGACGGTGGTGGGTTCTTGGGGCTCTTCAACGTCCGTTCTTCGGACTGGACGTCCGAATTGCTGGGTTTCCCAGAGTTGTAGACCTGCTTGTCGCCACTGGTGGAAGTGGACGGGAGGTCAAGTCCGTCAGTGAGACCCGATACATTGTCCGTAGCTCCCGAAACGCCCTTGGTCACTCCTCCGGCACCGCTGGTTGGCAGCGACGACAGCTTTCCGCCCTTCATTGCACCGTTAGTGATTGAGCCCAGACCACTTCCACCGGTCAGAGATTGGAGACCACTACGTCCCGTCATCGTCGTCAGATCGGTCGGGATGATGTTCTTGCCAAGGCCACTGCTGCCCGTTCCGACGGGCAGTGAGTTCGTGTTCGGCAGGACACCACCTTTCGTGATAGAATCAACGCCAGGTGCGGTCGCGGGCAACCCGTACTTCTTGGTAGTTGAGCCAGTCGTGACGTCTGAAAGTCCAGAGAGGTTGGAGAAGTCGATTGGATTGTCGTAACCGGCTCGCAGCAGCTTTCGCTCAGGCGCTGCGAGCGTGCATTGTGCCGCAAGAACTACGAGAGCGAGGGTCGATAAGAGCTTCATCTGGGCGATGTTGTGTGGAATCGGCGTCTAAACTGGAAATGAGGAGTGATAAGCTGAGCAGCGTCTAGCGAGATGAAAGATCGACGGAGTGTCTCCCTACGAGAGGCCTCTACCACGCGCGTCCACATCTGCTACGCGGCCATGTATCGTTACCGAATGGGCAGAT